CAGTCCCAAAATGTTGGTGGATTCCAGATCAGAGAGACGTTTTTCTCCCTCTTTGATTCATGTCTCTATGTCAGTATTTGGAATGAGTGTTCCAGGAAGCTGTACACCAATGTGTGTATTAAGCCCATCAAAGGTTTTCAAAAGTTCTGGCTCCTAAGCTTGCACAGACAAATCCTCTGGTTTTTGAAAATATTCATTTATGATCCTATAGTTTTGATGCATTCTGCATCTCCAAGACAATTTCATGTCATTGTCACACACAAGGCCTGTCACTGAAGGAGGTGTCAGCAGAATAACTGTTTTTGAAAGGGACATATATACAAGTTTCTTTTCCATGCCCCGCCTCTGGGGGTCAGCAGAAGGTCCCAGGACCTCTGAGCACTTATCTAACTCTCCGTATTTATGCAGATGTGTATTTGGAGGAGGGAGGCTTGGGATGGAGAAGATGACCTCCCCAGCATCACCATTAGTGCAATCCAGGATGTGCTCTGGGGAATAAGGGATCAGGGATGTTGTGGTGCATGGGTTATGGGTGTTGGGATGTGGAAATCCCTAGTGTTGGAAGTAGAGGGACTCCAGGATCCTGTGCAGTAGCTGCTTCAGCATTGCCTCTGGGGTCACTGATGTGCCACCCCTGGAATGGGCATCAACAGCACTGCAGGGAGGTGAAAATGCAGACGTTGCTTCATTTGTCATGTGCAGTTTATCTAAAGGTAAATTTCACTTTCGTCTGATCAATGTCTGACTAGAGTGTACTAAAAAAATGCAAGTTTTTGTTTTTCTTAAAAATATTGTTAGACAAAAATATAGGTAAAAAATTTCTTAAGGAGAAAGCAATTGCATTCTTAATCTCAAATGAAACATACATTATCTTAGGCAATATATTGGGATTTGAGTGTTTCTGGTTTCCACCCATCTGGGCAGATAATTATCAGCAACAGAGACAATATAGTCTTAGATGTTAAGATTCTAGATAGGAAGGGCCTGGCCCTGGGTTCCTATGTCCTGGGATAGCCTTATCTTCTGTGGAATCACACTCACACACGCACACACACACACAGCCACTTGGGAGAGCAGGACCCTCAGTGAGTTCCGGTCCCTTGTGTCTATTGCTAGATGTCCTCCTGAATTTCTGAGTTTGCCTCTTTTATGGGATCCTTAGGTTTTGTGGATTTCTAGTTTTCTGACTGCCCACCCGCTCAGCTCTTTTCTGACTCATCTCAGGTACTTCCACATATATGTTGCATCCATACTGCTGCTCTTGTTCCAGCCCTTGAAGTCTGTCTTGACCATCAACATTAGGGCATTTTTCCCAGTTCTGGCCTGCTTGTGCTCCAAATTTGGTTCCTCTATTCTGGTCTTCAGGATGCTTGGTTTATTTGTCTTTTTTGTCACACTATATCTGAGAACCCACTGCTTAATCCATTATTGCATGTAATGGGCGCAGAATAGTTGTTTCTTGAATGGCCTACACTACACTATACACAGTGAGGCTGATCATGCATTTTTTGGATCTTTATGATGTCTTTTATAACAGAAACATAAATGAATTCTTACAGGAGGAATGATAGGCTCCCGTGTGACTTATGGGGAATGACTCAATCATTCATTCATCATGTGGTTGTTGACCATGTGTGTGCAGTCAAGATATACAATAGAAATAATTCTGACAGAGCCGTGTTCTGATTGAGCTGACCAGATTATACATTGAGGGCTTTTCCCAAAAGAGGATTGTTTCCCAAGGGAAGAAGGTGTCTATCTTCCATTTATATGATATAAATGGTTTGTCTTTCATGTTTGGCTATTGAAAATTGTACCAAAGACTGACACAGAAATAACTCTAAATATCATATTTTATTCAATGACATTTAATGGAAAATTATCTGGACATGAATTTTCTTGTTCAACTCTTTTTCATCTCAAACTGAAATTTAAATATAGTTATCTTTTTAACTCTTGATGGTCCGTAAAGGCAACTTGGTAGATTACAAATGGCAGAATTTTTTTTTTTTCTCAAAGATTGGCACCTGGGCTAACAACTGTTGCCAATCTTTTTTTTTCTCCTGCTTTTATCTCCCCAACCCACCCCCCCAACCCCCCGTACACAGTTGTATATCTTAGTTGCACGTCCCTCTAGTTGTGGGATGTGGGACACTGCCTCAACGTGGCCTGACAATCAGTGCCATATTCGCGCCCAGGATCTGAACCCTGGGCCGCCGCAGTGGAGCGCACGAACTTAACCACTCGGCCACGGAGCCGGCCCCCCAAATGACAGAATTTTATTTTATTTTAAATTTTTTTCAGAATTGTGTTTTTAAATTTACAGTTTCATGAAGTTTCTTGTTCCATATGACAAGGATATTGGCATATTATTAAATAGGCTTAAATGACTGGCCAGAAGTTGATAAGAATGGAGTTGCTCTTAAAACTATATTTAATTAAGAAGTGTTCTTCACTCAAATATTTCCAGTGGCAACGTAACTATGTGTCTTTCTTACCATTCTCTACCTCCTCTCCTGTCTACTTTATTGAGACATAATTTACATAAAACCAAATTCACGTGTTTTAAGTGTACATGTCAATGACTTTTGACAAATATAAACACCTTTGTAACCACCACCTAATCAAGCTGTAGAGCATTCATCTCAACCAGAAATTTCTCGTGGACTCTGTTACAATCAATTTCCTCCCACACTCCAGCCCCAGGAAAGCACTAATCAGCTTTCTGTCACCACAGGTTGAACCTCATATATGTGGACTTATATAATCTGTGCCCTTTCTGTCCAGCTTCTTTTGTGCAGAATAGTGTTTGAGAGGTTCATGCATGTTGCTGCAGGATTCAGTAGTTTCTTCTTTTCCATTGCTGAGTACTATTCCATCCCATTGTTTGTTTATCCAGCCGCCTGATGATGCAAATTTGATATATTTCCAGTGTTTGTCCAGTGTGAATAAAGCTACTATGAACTTTGGTACAGTGGTGCATTTATGGGCACGTGTTTTCAATTCTCTTGGGTAAATATGAAGGAGTGGATTTGCTGGATCATACGGTAAGTAAAGGTTTAATTTTATAAGAAATTCCCAAAGTATTTTCCCAAGTGGTTGCACCCTTTGCATTCCCACCAGTAGTGTGTGAGAGTTCTTGGTGCTCCACATTCTCTCCAGCACTTGACATGGCCACTCTTTTTAATTTAAATTTAAATTTTGGCCACTGTAATAGGTGTAAGAGGTATTCTGTGGTGAGGGACATCGAAAGCACATAAATATCCACTTTTTAAAAAACTTTATTTAATTATTTAGTTATTTTATATCAGTATGGACTCATTGTATTCTGTTTTATTAAATAAATTACAGTCTGTCACTTTAAAGAAAGTTACAAGATTTGAATGTCTCTTACATATGGCCACAATGCAGGGGTAGTTGGCTCTCTGACCCCCCTAGAATGTACGCAAAGCTTTTCAGTTCTCAGAACTAGATGTCAGCCATCTCCTCTACTCGATCCGAATCAAATGCCTATGAGCCTTTGTCTTAACTTGTTGGCTTCTATAAAGTTCCTTTTGAAAACCCAACTGAAATAACAAGTAGTTGAAAGTTTTGGTCTAAAGGCATTCTAACAATCAGTTCTTCAAACTCCCCAAAACTCTATACCAGTTTCAACTTCATTGAACAATTAGAAATGAATTCACACCCATAGTGACACTCTGAGCTTATTTATTACCTACAATTTTCGATTTTAAAATACACTTACACTGGGCCAAACTTCTAATCCTTTGATAATTCTCACAACCTCATTCCCATCATTTCTGTTGTTTAATCTCGTTAACTACTTGACTGCCTTTCAGTCCATCAAGGCACCTGCCTCGTGCCTTGCCTTCTGTTCCCAGCCCATTCACTGCATGATTTACTCATGTTACCCATTCTGTTGCCAGTCTGTCAGTTTGCTTGGTCAAATCTCACACGTACATGGTGAAACATCTCCTTCTTCTTCTCTGTTCTTTGGCTGTCGAATTCTGATGAAGAAAATTTCAACCTTGCTCCAGTCCTCCAAAATTCAAGGTTTATGAAATAAGCTGGGATTCAGTATTGACTGGGAAGGATTTAGAATGAATACAGTCCCCTAAGGAAAACTGTGTTCCAGAAAATAAATTTTGTCAATTCCTAACCTTTATATATTGACATACTTCAAGGTCAGTGCCAGGCCCTCCTTTCTTATCACCTTATACTCTCTCTCTCGGATCTCATTCTTGACTTTAGCCACCTTTTTTTTTTTTTTAACTAAGTTCTAGAGTTACCATATTTATTCAGTAACTCTAAAACTTTTATATTGAGCATCACAAATTTAGAGCTTCAGATCATATCCTGCATCTAGCTCTAGCCTCATTTAAAGTGCTTACTAGACAACTCCATTTGGACATCTCAAAAGAAATGAAAATTCAACAAGTGTAAACCTCAACCTGAGATCTTCTCTTCTCTCCAAAACAAATCTTCTTCCATCCAACAAATTGGTTAGGCCAGAAACTTGGGACATCATTCTTGGCTTCTGTCTCTCATTTCTGCCATAGATAATGTGTTGCCAGAATTCTGTGGATTTTGCTTCAAATAATCCTCACAAATATCTGTTTCTCTCCATCTCTACTCTTGACATTCTAATGGTTTACTCTAATCTCACTGTATCTACACTGTGGTTTCTTCTCCTCCATTTACACCATAATAGCCAGAGATATATTTTAAAGATTTATATGATAATCTCATTCTCCAATTTGGAGGGCAAATGAACAAAAGCTATGATGGCTTTCCACTCATTTTAAGATAAAATAGGAAGTTCTTAATGTGGGCTACAAAGCCTTTCATGTTTTGGGATGAGCCTACCTCTCCAGCCTCATCATGCACTACTTCTATTTTGAATTTTCTTTTTATATGATAATATATTTCTAAATTATCTCTCCTATGTGTGGTGGGCCACTTGCACTTTCTTGAGAAGAAAAACCAAAAAAAGCACCAAGTAGTATGAATGTCCTTGTTTTATTGATAATGTCTTTCATAAAATCAAAAAATTTGGAAATTCAAGGTCCCAGCTATCACCAAAATCAAATAAATTTCGGTGTCTAGGTTAATAAGTTTGAATAGTAGTTGTAATTTTTGAAATAGCAGATATGACATTTCAAATTTGGATAAGTTAGAGTGTTGAAATATCCTTTTACTTTATCTTGAACATTTTGTCCCAAAGGGAATCATCACGGGGAAATGAAGTAGGTTTTATATGTGTTAGTAGAAAGGGAGAGATAGACATGTTAGTCCAACCATTGCATTCTCAGTGATGACTATGAGATTGGAAAGGAAAAAGAACTAAAGAGAACCTGTTATTTCCAGCAATCAGTGCCCTGGAACAACTGTGAACTTGCCCCTAAATTAGTAACAGGCTAATTGCCTCTAAGGGGAAGAGACTCTACCCAAGAAGAGGATGCTGTTGGTCTTATTGTGCTTGATGAAGAACAGGAAAGGGTGATCACAGTGGAAACTGTAAATTGGCGGTGATGAAAGTTTAGTTACTATGCCAGTAGCAGCTGCAGCCTCTGTGCCCTCCTCATTCACCTCCACAAAGGACTTGTGTAGGATTTTAGACACCACGAGACCCCGGCTCCCAGTCATGCCAGAGAAGTCGGCGTCCTGCGGACTGAAGGCATCCAGCATCCCCAGGGATATCATCGTGTCCTTGAGGTCATAGCTCTCTTCCACTTTGAACCGAGGTAAATGTAAATTCACTAGGCTCTCTCTCATATTCTGTGAGCTTGTCCACTCTATTAATTTCTCAGTGGTGAGTTTATCTTCAAGCTATAAAAATGGAAAAATGCAACGGTTCACATGATTCTCGGTGGACATCAAACACAACTGTAACATTGGATTGAATCATGTGGAAAGCCTTTGTTTTAATAGTAAATATAATTACAGAATATTCAGTTTGTTAGATTTAATCCAAGGAGGTTAAAATAACACAATCATGAATATATATTATACAGTAAAATAAATATATGTATATATTTGTGATTGTGTTATTTCTCTGTATATATGTACACTAAATATATGCATGTTTAAACATATATATATACATATGTGTATACGTATGGCCATATATACAGCAACAGAATCACTAAATAAAATTATTTTGTAAGAGATGAATTGTATATCTGCATCCCTTATGCTTCCAGCCTATTGCATGCTTCATTTTCAAATACACTTTTTAATGTCTTTTGTGTACATAAGTTTCTACATTGTGCAGTTCTAGTGTACACATTATTTTTAATCCTTTTTCTTGCTTGACCTGTTTGTAAACTTTCTAATATAATAGACATATATTTCTCTAATCATGTTTAAATTGTTACATAGTACTAGTATTAAATTGATATTCAATGTATATATTGAATATTACTTAATATTTTTTAAGCATTCACTGTGTGTCAGTCCCTAAGCTAAACCATTGGTAATACGAAGATGCAGCATTGTTCCTTGTTTTGAATTTTTCATTATTTTGAGCCACTTCTATCCAAAAGCTTTTCCCTTGTTTACATTAGTTAACTTAGGCTTACTGATGTCATTGATAACCAGGATTGATGAGTTGGCGTATGAATATTGTAATGGTCCTTCACATATGTTGCTGTATTACTTTCCTGAGGATCACCAATTTCCAGAGTTACCACAATATATATTTTGAATGTGATAGGTTCACTGCAGCTTCAGCAGCATCATTGACCATCATAATAATTGCGGATGGCCATTTTTGGAATGGCCTTAATATGCCAGATACTGTTATTGGTATTTTTACATATTAACTCTAACTATTATTGCAGTGCTAGGAGAGAAATTCCATAATTCCTTTTTTAAACTTCCATCAATTAGGCTCCAAATGACTTTTGAACTCCTAGGGACAGAATACTTCTAAATTGAAAAGTATGGATCAAGATAATTCTATTTGTCTACTGTATGCTTTGTTGTTTTAATTTTCTTATTTTGTTTATGAGTAAGCTTGCAAAGATTTCCATTTTCACCTACATATGAGTGTTAATTTCCTTGTCTTCAAATGAGTACACTGGAATATACCAGGGGTTCTCATGGTTGCAAAATATAATGTGTATGCCTAGATATATCTTTTTCTGAACTGACATTTCATAGTTTCCTCAGAATATTAATGGGACCTGTGATGTTAAGATTTTCTATATATTCTTTCATATCACACTGCAATGCATAGGCTATTTACTTTTTAGAATGCGACATGTTGTCAGGTTCTCCTTAACAATTCTCTTTTAGGCTATATGCAGAGAAGGAATGATGTACTCTGTACTTGAGCTCTGCCAGCCACCACCTGTGAGCCTGCTTCCACGAACAATGCATACAGGCATTGTGTTACTAGGAAATTAGGCAAAAGAAGGAAGAATTGGCGGCAGAAGCTATTACCTTCTTCAGACCATCCACTTCATTTGGCAGCAGCAACATCATGCTTAGATCTTTGCCATTGTATGGCACTTCCAGGATCTTGGCCTGCATGTCCTCCACTTCAGTAAAATTAAAGAAACTGGTTTGTCTCATCATCTGCACGGATTTGCTGGTATCCTGCAGTAACAAATGCCAAGTGAGGCATAAGTCAAAGAAAGATAATACTGTTGAGATACCAAACACATCCTCTTTCTATGAGATGATCTGGGAAATTTGTGAATTAGAGAGAAGAGTCTCTTCAAGTAGTCCCAACTAAATAAAGTTAAAAAAAATGAAACAAGAAAATACACCCATGACAAATTCTGTTTTCTACCTGCAGCTGTACCTTCTATCAAATATGAGTTTAAATTAACATTCCAGGTATAACTACATTATCATAAATAAATTATAGACAACACCTTGTTCAGCCAAAATTTTTCCTCCACAGTTCTTTTTTTATCAAATTTCTTGTCCCACTGCCCTTTGAAATAGACTGCGTTCACCAGAACCAGAATGGCGGAGCTGAGAGAGCCGTCGGGAAACAGATCCTTGATTTTTCCTGAAAAAGAAAGAAAAACAAAGGTCTGTCGTGAAAGTACAAGTGGTTTATCTGAAAGATGCTTACTCCTCCCTCTGTCCTTTCCTTTCTGCTTTTTTGACTTTGGACCCACTACTTAGAGGAAGTAGACCTAGATTGTTCTTTAGGACAAATGGCATGAACTCTATTATCTGAAACACATACCCTGTGCTGTGAGACGCTACTCCCTGTGGTGTCTTCCTCTTCCTTCTTCACTTTGAATAGCTATAGGTTTGGATTCTAATGGGAGTGGGGGGGTAGGATAGGGGTTCATAGGATGGAGAGTGAGTCAAGCTCTCTGCCCTGGATGAGGAAGACAGCTGAGGAAGTCTCTGCAGAATGAGGGGATGGAGAAATGGGCAGGCAGCTCCAGCTGCAGCTGGCAAGGAGGGGAGTTTATAGGACAGCTGCTTGTTTGCCAATTAACAAAGGAGATGGGAACCCTTTCTGATGTTTCCCTTAGGAGCTATATACAGAAGTTAAGGCTCTGATTTAAAGTAAAGGATGTGAATGTAAGAATGGCTCTGATCAGAGACTTGGGATTGACAAAGATAGCCATCCATGGCCATGAGCAAACACAGATCTCCTGTGTTTCCACATAGCCGGTGCTGTGACCCTCCTGGGTTCCCTTTGTTTCTCTCCACATTTAGTTGGAACATTCCATCTGCAGTGCCCCGCCATCCTCTGCAAAGTCATCTCATTTTCCTCTCCTGGCACCCCACACAGTGTCCAGCACAGGGTTCATGCACAGTGGAGACTCAATGTGTTTCTTTATGGGTGATCTCCCATACTCTACCATTTGTTTGGCTTTCCACCCAGGAATTAATCTTCTTACGACTTTCTTCTGCAGCATTTCCAAAATCAGCAGATTCCACGCTGGCGAGGTAAAATTTTTTAACTTTATCCATGTATTCCTTTGACATGGGAAGGAAGAAAGGAGGAATTAAGTAAATTATTATTAACTATGTATTCCCAAGTTAGTTACTTTAAAACTTGACAAAATATGAAACAGGGACCCAGACCCTGAAGAAATCTACTTTTTTTTACCTGTGCGTATTTTAAGACAGGTGCCTGTGGGTAACGTGTAAGGGATGTACAGGCTGGCACAAGATTGAGGTCTCTGAAAAGCAATGCCATCTGACAAAGGCAGGAACAGAAGGGGCTGTGGGTTGCAAACTGCAAAGCTTGTTGCTCTGAAGGAGATGGTGTGCTTCTGGGACTCCTCTTCAGTAATATCAACTCTTAAGGTTCTGACCTTTGCTTCTATCTTCCATCCTGGGCATTCAGTATTCCCTGGTACTTCCCCAGCTTTCCTCAGAGACTCATCAAGCCTGCCCATCCTGTCAGTATACCATTAACCATACATTTCCTGGGTTATTGGGCTATGTGACTGAATGGCGTCAGGTCATTAGGGGCATCCCCTGACTTAGTCTGCTACTGAACCTGCTCATTGGTCATAAAGTCATCCCTAAACCCACACTTTCTTGGTGGATGGTCAGGCTCTAGGACATTCCTTTGGGTGTAGTTGTGGCAACGGAGTCTTGCACCCTGGGTAAATGCTCCCCATGGGGCTCACCCAGGCTCATCTGTTCACTCTCCTCTATTTGGTGATTGGGAGACAGAGGCCCTAGGATGCAGATTAAAGGTGTGGCAGGCCGGTGAAACTTACCTGAAGAAACTGGAACTTCTTTTCTCCATAGAGCCTGTTGGCGATGCTCAGCTCATAGGCATCAGTGGGTTTCTTTAGCTCAGTCAGAAGCTTTTGAAATTGGTGATGTACATTTCCCAACTTTTCAACCTTCAAACACCAAAAAGTGAGCTCATTGCATTCTCTGTCAATGTAAATACTAAGCCCACATAAGTCTGTTAGATGTATACCTAAAGTTTGGCAGTCCCTTGGATGACGTTTGTTGTTCTTCCATGCTACAGGTGTACTTTATCTCAAATGTTCTTCAGAATTTTTACATTCAATCTCTTCCAGGAAATTCTTTGTATCTGCTCTAAATAATAGAATATTTTCCCTTTTGAACTACAGATGCAGTGCCATTCTATCATTGGATTGTTTTCTAATTGGTACATATGGTTAGGTCAAGCTTACCAGCTAAACTTAGCTCCTTATGGGTTAGAACCATTTTCATTGTAACTGCCATCAAGGTATGAAAATGTTGAATTTGTGTATTTCAATGATGTTATGACATGAAGCCCTGTACACTCCTAAGTGGTATTCTCTTGTAAGACTTGTTGGCTGTGATCTATGTCTCTTCACTCATGATTGTCATACTCCAAGTGTAGGAAGAGTGTGTGCCTGATACACTGCTAAGGCTTTACATTGGTGTCTCTAAGTCTTTAGCCCAAGTCAGAGGAAAACAAGAAAGTTCAGAGAATTAAATAACCTATCCGAAGAGACACAAGGAGGTAGAGCCGATTTTTGAACCTAGGTCTGTCTGAACCCAGAAGCTTCCATTTGCTAGCTAAAGCTTTTGGACCATTAAGGCTATAAACTATGTATCTCATACAATTATTTCTCAAAATGTACTTGGATGTATACTTAATCTTGTTAATCCCATTTATGAGTTAATTAAAATCATATTATTTTATCAACATTATTGTGATTACTATAATTATTTCTGTTCTGTAATAATAACACATAACATTTGTTAGGGTTTCCTGTAACCCAAGCACTGTTGTGATGTTGGCATGTACGGAGGCAGATCTTTCACTATTGCTAGTTTACTGGCATGAGATCAGTGTGTCTCAGAGCAGTTGTGCCTGCACATGTCTCCTGTTCATGAACAGCAGGGCAGGAATTTGAAGCTAGTGTTCCAGTTCCAGAATCCATGCTCTTAAGCAAATGCTGATCTCTCAGGAAACAAAAATATGAAATAAGTAAGTATGTAATATGACATGAGAAACAGCTCTGCTTCTCCAGTATATTTTGCCCAAGATTTCCCCTAAAAATGGACTTTTCACTGAAGTTCCCAGTTTAAACTCTGACCCTCTTGGATATGTGTTTCTCCTTCTACACCCGAGTGCTCTGTGACTCACCTGAGCTGTTGTAGGGCTTCCTCTTGTGTTGTCTGTGACATCATTAAAGTGAAGGACCTGGAAGAGAAGGGAAGTGTGACAAGAAAACTTTACTCAAAAGATCTGTCCACATTAGGAAATTTTCAAGAAAGGAAGAAAAAAAGAAGGAAAGAAACCCAGAAATAAACCCAAAGTAATAAACAGAAGAAACTTCCAAACCAACCCAAAATAAAAAAAAAACAATGAAAAATGAAGGAAAAAGAATAAAGAAAACTTCAGTGTAAGCATTTGCTCGTTGAAAAGCTACAGCTGAACTGGTTGATCACCATTCACTGTAAAGAATACTGATTTATCATTCAATCAAGGCCAAGGAATCATGTGAAGATGTTTCCCATGGATTTAAGTCAGTGCATCACTTCTGCAAGTGTTCTGGCATTTAAACTCCGCCTCTTGTTATTGGGCAATTGTAGGAGTTGATCCCAGCTCCCAAAGGGAATCTAAGCATGGGGAAGCAGATGGAGCAGAGCACTAGGGGAGGGCACATGCCCCCCACAGCCCTGTGCTCACCCAGTTATGGGAATGCTTGCTCAGTCTCCTGTGCTACCTCTGGGGGCAACCAGATCTATGAGGATCTGCACAGATGCCAACAGAGAAATCAGTCTAAACAGGTGAATGTAAAGGGAGCTGGCACCTACCTTGCCCATTTGGAGCGCAGTGTTTCCTTGGGCCCCTAAGTACATCATGGCTAACGCTGATGTGATGCTGAGAGGGGAATAGAAGATGTTGTCCTTCTCTGATTTTTTGAACTGTTGGAACAGATCAAGTGCGAAGTGGGTGTTTGCTTCACTGAATGAATTCATGGCGGCCTTGGTGTGATCTGGAACTCCTGCAGAAGCATCAGGTTCATTGGATAATGAGTTTACTGAAGAGAAGCTTAGTCTGTAATGAAATTTTCTTAGAAGAAATGACATATTTTGCTTGTGGGAATCTCACAGGTAAAGTTTTCCGTTGTTTTACTTTTCAAGCTGTTTTTAATGTACATATATACATTTTGTGATTAAAAGATCATCAAAATTACTATTTAAAAAAACTTTTGTGAAAAATTAATGGAACGTCTTTATGTTTCTTTCATTGCCAGTTGTCCTAGGTCTGGGTAGAAAATGTTCTATAATAGATAGTAAGACCATGATCCATGTGGATCACATCCAGCCAGCTCCCATGACACACTGCTCTGCTTTTTCCTTCAAAGTCCCGTGGGTGTCAGACACACTTCCCTCCACCACATGTGTTCCTAAATAAGCATTTGCTTCATCAGAAATTATTACATTAGGTAAAGGATAAATCAGATGAAGAAGATGTTTCAATTTGCCCTAGCAGAAGAAGTAAAATACAATCAAACAGAATGAATAGATGCATGATATAAAAGATATCGTTATTATTTTCAAAAATGATTCATGCTGTTAAGCTGGAGCAGCTGGAAGCTCTTACCTGTGTTGCTGGAGGAAGCAGAGGTGGGCAGGGAGCCTGTAAGCCTGTGTGTGGTGAGTGGTAAGATCCTGAATATATACCTCTCTGTTGTCACCTCCCATTGCTTGGTGCGGTTGGTATTTCAAGTAAATCAACTTTTGATTTCTTAACCAGGCTAAGCGTCACCTTCATGAACATCAGTATTTATGAGGAAAAAAATGCTATTGTTCTGTTCCTGTACTTCCTTTTCACTTGCAGAAAACATGGTGGACCTGCCATCATTGGCAATCGTTGGCTCATATGAAATTCATGGAGGTGCCTTTCTAGTACCAATGAGAATAAAGGTAAAATCCAACTATCTCTCATGCTCCAAGCTACACTCACCCAGAAATAACCCTCTTCCTTCTTTTGGATGTTGAATAGTCTTTAAGGCCCACTCAAATGTAAACAATTACAAAGCTTACGTTTTTTATTTAAATTTCTAAAAGGGCTGTTCAACCTATTGATTTCATTAGTAGTTAGTCTGTATAACCAGGAAAATAACTCAAATTCTCAGTTTAGAGAGATACTGATAATGTTTTGCAGCAGTACATGGAGAACAGGAATCATTGCCTTCCCCTAAAGGCTGTACCTTGGCCAAGGTCCTCCTTGTTACCGCTCATGTCCCCGTGCAGCTGGTCCTTTATTTTCCCTGCTTTTCTAAGGTCAGTGTGAAGCTGATGCAGCTTGCCATGTTAACACGCTCACAAGGAGAAGAACAATTGATACAAACAGGGGCCATTTGCATGGCAGCAGTCTAAATTTTGTTTTAATATGAGACAGAAATAAATCGTTTCATCTCCATAATCATGACATTTATTTGTCATCCTGTACTTTAGCACATCACCTCCAGATTCCTGGAATGAACATTTGGGTCAAATGCTCATAAGAAAAAATGTGAACAAGGTGTTCTTTGAATGCTATGGTTAATTTCTTTCTTTATAAAATTTTATTGAGGTCACATTGGTTTCTAACATTTAGTAATTTCGGGTGCACAGGTGATCAGGTGTTCAGACTTCTGTATGGACTGCAACGTATTCACCACCAAAAATCTAGTTGTCAGCAATCATCAGACATATGTGCCCCTTCTCTCCTTTTGCCTTCCCTCACTCCCTTCCCTTCTGGTAACCATCAATCAGTTCTGCATGTCTATGTGTTTGTGTGTTTATCTTTCACATATGAGCAAAGGCAGATGGGAATTGTCTTTGTCCATCTGATTTATTTTGCTTAGCATTATGCCCTCAAGGTCCATCCATATTGTTGCATGGCATGGTTTTGTTTTTTTTTTAATGGAGGAGTAGCATTCCCTTGTTATATATACCACAACTTCTTTATCCGTTCATCTGTTGATGGGCATTTAGGTTGCTTCCAAGTCTTGGCTGTTGCCAATAATGCTGCAATGAACTTAGAGGTGAATTTTCTTTTCCACTTAGTGTTTTCATGTTCTTTGGATAAGTATATAGTTATGTTTATTTTCACGGGAGCCTTATTCTCTTCATCTGCATGCTGTTCCAATAAAGAGAATAATATTAAAAACTATTGGCTTTTATTGAGCAGGGATATCTATTTGCTCATTTACATCTTAACAACTCATTGAGGCAGGTCCCTTTGTTGTCCCCATTTTACGGATGACCTAAGTGAGCCACAGAGTGGTTGAACAGAAGCCCAGGTTTCTACAGTCGTGAATTGCACTGTGAGATATCCAGGCAGACAGTCTGGCTCAGGACCCTGCATGCAGATCCACCATCCCAACTGTGTGAGACAGACTCTGGGTTTACAAAGACGCGCATCTCCTTATGTTTAAATGTAGAGAACAGTTTTCTTCTGCACTCTCAGCAGAGATGATTCCTCGACAGAATCTGAAGGGGTGGGAATGGGTCAAATGCTCAGCCCCAAAGTCTCCTCTGTGGGCCCCACAGTCACCAGGAAGATAGGCTGGCCTTTCAGGTGCCATCTTAGGGCTCCATCCTTAGAAAAACAAGGACTGTAAGTGGGAATGGAATTGGGGTGATTTCCTCTGAGTATGGGGCTCAGAGAGAGTGTGAAATCATGCCCAACCCTCCATTCCTGTTAACAGCTCTATCAAGCTGGGATTGAGTACATTAGAAACTCTGAGAGGGAAATCAGGCAGACAGAGGAAGTGTTTTTCCCCAGATTTCACTGTCCCTGGGGGCCTGGCTGTGGCCGGGGAGAAGGCTGTCGTTCCAGGGCACCCAGCCTCTTGTCTCCCTTACCAGGGGTAAGGATGTGGGTACTGGGGACCGACTTTTTAGTTGAGATGTAATTCATATACCTTAAGGTTCACTTTTAAAAATGTACTGGTCACTTGTTTTTAGTACTTTCACAAGGTTGTGCAACTGTCACCATGGTCTAATTCCAGAACAATTTCATCCTTCCCCAAGAACCCGCCTCCAAAGTTCTCCCTTCACCCTGGTCCCTGGAAACCACTAATCTACTTCTTCTCTCTCTGGACATTTCATATATTCATCAGCACATCATGAGGCCTTTTGTATCAGGTTCCTTTCACTTAGCATAATATTTTCAAGGTTCATCCATGTTGTAGCATGTATCCATACTTCATTTCTTTATGTGACTAACTATAATGTTCTGTTGTATGATATACCGCTTTGTTTTTATCCCTTCATGTGTGGACGTACCTTTAGGTTTTGACTACTGTGTGGCTATTGTGAAAATGCTGACACGAACTCTCTTGTAGGAATTTCAGTGTGGACAAATGTTATAATTTCTTAATTTCTTAACTGTAAACCTGGGGATTGAAATCACTGAATCATGTGGTAAGTCTATGTTTGATTTTGAAGAACTGCCCAACTGTTTTCCACAGTGGCTGGGCCATTTTATGTTCCCTCCAGCATATGAAGGGAAACTGTATGAGAGTCTGATCTCTGTACCCTATCCAACTCTTTTTGCTCTATTGGATCTTTTTAACACCTGCCCTGAGCAGGGTCTCTTGTCTCAGCACATCATGCATTCACAGGAAGATTCACCTTCTATAAGTTCCCAGAATCACAGAGGATGGAGGTAGAAGGTGAAGGGTGAGAGGATCTTTGTTTGTAAAACTGAAAGTTTTTTCTACCTGAAACCACACCCCCAGGCCATGCTGCCTTTGGGTCTCCTTTATCAACATGTGTTTAGTGAATCCCTGAATGAGACTGTTATGTAAAAGATCCTTGAGTTTAGATGAGGTGAGGATGTAGACTATTGGACACTTGATGATGGAGTACATCCGAAGGTAGAAGGGCATGACAAGAGAAAAGATGCAGGACAAAAAATTAGAAACAGAAGGAATAGGAGCTTCACAGTTGAGGCTGCATCACTGGCCATAGTCTCCAGATAGAAGTGGAGGTTCCTAGAGCAGCAGCAGGATGAGTTTCTTTGGGTTCTAGGGGAAAGGTACCTGACCCCCATAGGATTGAAGCAAGAAGCTCAGCCTGGGTGTAGAAAGAAGACATTTAGTGAGAAATTAGGGTAAAGTGGCCTGCAAGGGAACTTCTGACTAAGGCTGAATTCTCCTGAGACTACGCCACCAAGATTTCTCATGCAAAGATTGATTGAGTTTGAGGAAAATGCACTTGTTCACAAGGACCAGGAGTTTGCTAAAATTTAGGGAGAGCTTGAGTTAGTTCCAATGAGAAACCATTTCGTAGTTTTTTCTGTTTTTGAAAAGTGCTCCTGGCATGTAATAGACAGCATTATGACATCCTGATGTCATACAGTGTCATAGACAACTCAGAAGTTTCAGAAGTTTTTGCATGTGAATACTTGTCAACCCTTGTCTTTGGGTATTTCTAAACATACACCAACATCATTTGTTCTGGTAATCCAGACACCCAATAAAACTCAAAAGGAAATTACACTTTGAGGAACCATCCTGCTATTGGTTAAGAAATATCTTCTTGGTTTTCCCAAACCATACTTCCTTGTGAGTGTGTGAGGATTTTTTGGCATTGGTGAGTTGCAAATCCCGGGGGCATTTTATTTCTTCCTTCTTACAAAGTATGTTGTTGTGTCTGTGTACAAGGAAACTCATTAGTGGAGAAGATCCTTCAATCATCCAGTAATAGAATATCAGCCAATTACTGTATTTCCTGAAGATACAGATGTAGATATAGGTATGTACACATTGAGTAATGTATGAATGGGATTAATTATTATTTCTTTTTAATTTTCACAGGAGGAACCCATTCCACGAAAATTTGAATAGGTGTTACACAGGGAATTCATCTCATATGTAGATAAAGCATGGAAGACTGAGACCAATTCATGAGACCTCCTTCTTTCCCCATTCCCCTGACTCTAATACCAGCAAGGACAGTCCTCCTCCTTGCTTCTTTCAACTGATTCCCACCCTGTGCCTCCCTGACTTCTTACAACTGCACCCTATGGCCCCAATTAATTCACCTTGGCATTTGTGTTCCATTGCTAAGCAAAACCAGTGTTGGCTCTCTCTTTCCCTAGAACTCTCCCTCTTCGTCCTTGCTTTATCTGAAATATGGATTTTTCCCATGACTGTGTGTCCCTTGATCTGTTCTCAGGGGCAGCTCCTTAATCCCCCATCTTCACACTGTGAAGCCAGGAAACTGGCCTTGTCTTTCTTTTATTCCCACTGACTTTTCTTGTCATTATTCTTTCTCTGTCTTCAATGCCCTGCTTTAAGTTTGGAGCCCTGGGGATATATCACCATATGCCCACCTACTATCTTGTATGTCATTCCTTAATATTCACTACGTAATCTGTTGCCTCTCCACTGTTTTATGATTTTCCTCTTCATCCTAACTGCTTCTGGTATTCTGGGTGGCTTCACTTTCATTTCATAGTCTACAAATAGACTCCATTCTTCTTTTATTTTACATCTGTATTTTAGTTGAATCTCTTTCTTTGTGAAAATCTTGTCAGTTCTTTTGCCCTGTTGTTCTGTAGAGCCATGAGGTTTCCTTATCTGTTTGAATATGCTCTTTATATAAAGGTAATATTAGTTATTGTGGATGTCTGTCT